ATCCTGAGCTATTAATCAACTCTAAACTCTGGAGTCTGAGGTAGACTTTGCAACCTGCTGAATTTACCAGGAGAGAAACTTTCCTGTAATTTCAGAGAAATCTAATCTAACTGATGCTGTCAAATATTTTTGTAATGGGTAATGAACAAATTGTACAGGCTAAGCTACAGTTCATCACTTGTATAACAAACAGCTGTAGCTCAGCAATAATTACTCCCCACAAATGTGTGCATGATATTATCATGAGACAGATTTCCTCAGCAAGATCTTCTTGGCAGTGGGAAATTGCCTTGTATTTTTCAGGATGAATTATTAATGTTCTCAGACGTGCAGCATGATGTAGCTATGTCAAAGATTTCTTTAATGCATAGCAATCTATACACAATCTTATGAAATTAGAAATCTTAGAAGATTTAATGTAGTGATTTACCAGCTTCATAGTGAGAAAGGAGTAAAAAATATAAAATATAAAATTCATGTAACCCTATCGTGTTAAGAATAGGTTTGTTTATCTTTCTTTTTTTGTGTGTGTCTTTTTTTTTTCATTTTTATCGGTACCAGGGATTGAACTCATGACCGCCTGCTTGCAAGGCAGGTGCTTAAGCCGCTGAGCTAAATCCCTAGGCCCGGTTTGTTTATCTTTCAATCTTAGAAACAAATCAGTTAAATGATTGTTATGTAATTTAACCAAGTGAAGTACATAAAATTAAAAAATATATTAAGGGAAACTGGTAAATAATAAACTTGTATAATGGTTGATATATCGTGTCAACTTGAGAAATCTAGAAGTTTAACTAAGTAATTCAGCAACTCTATATCCTGGGGTATAGAGGACCTGCCTTTACTCATCTGGCATGTTGTTCATTGTGTTAATTTGAGAAATTTAGAAGTTTAATTAAGTGACTCAGCAGGGGACCAGGGTCTTCACTTTGTAAACATCCTAAGCCTGAGTAGAGAAGGGCATGGAAATGGTGGGGGTGCTACACTCTCCCTAGGGGGAAAAGCTTGCTAATAATATTCAGGGAGGAAAAGAGGCTTGCTCTCTCCCTTTTTTTTTTTCTTGCTGCTTTTGCTGTCTTCTGCTGAACTGTCACTCCTAAGTCTGCTTTGGAACCAGCTGATTACGAGCTGAAACCTCCACAAACTGTGAACTAAATAAACTTTCCATTTCTTACTTTTGAGCATCAAGTATTCTGTCTCAGCAGTGAGAGAAATGTATCCAAGACAACTTGGTTTTAACTTGGAGTCATTTGCTCACTCAGGTAAAATTTTAGGTATAGTCACACAGATTGTAATTTTCTGATACTCAGCCTGATTTTTGGTAGTTGTTTAAAGTCTATGCAAAAAATGAAGATACATAAAACCAAATAAAAATTAAAGTACTTATTAAAATAAATATACAGATAAAATATAAAAAGCATATAAAATTTACAATATGCATATTGTAGTTATTAGTTTTTCTATAATGACACATATATGTACTTGTACACACAAAACAACGTAAGAACTCAGAGATAAAATAGATTGTAACATGCTGAAACAAATTTTGAAGAATTAATGTGAAAAGAAACCTATAAAAAGCGACTCCTCTGAAAGATGCACCCTGGGTTTCAGTGGACTCCCTCGAGGCCTTGCTGCCCCCCAGAAGTCCTACCTCTGCACTCTACATGATACTAGTACTCTGACATACAGAACGAGAAACTTGAGACATTTGGAGGCAGATGGATAAAATTTGAGAACATAATATTAAAGTTTAAATATTGTATGATTTGTCTGTGGCATCCAGAAAGTCCCTTATGACTCCTTGGTGCTCAGCTGCATGCAAACTACAACTGAGATTATGATTTTTTAAGAGCTTTGGCTTTCAGAATACTGTGTTTTAAGACAACTCCTTACCCAAACTATTCTAGAAATATAAGAATTTAATGTCTAAACCAGTGGAGTGCTTTGCAGTACATCCTTTGCATCACATTTGTCTTGCTTGCTCATCTCTAGCTCCCTAGACCACCACAGCCGAAACTACTGGGCCCCCACCCTGAACCGCTTCAAATCCTCCCTTCGCCTGATGATGCAGGCATCGTTAGATTGTTCTCATCCATTCTGCACATTCTGTCCACCTGTAGCTTTACAAAACACACCCGACTATGTCACACCGTTGTGCTCAACACCTTTCAAACACTCCTCATTGCTCTTTTTAAAATTTATATGCAAGTTTAAAACTTCATAACAAACTATAACAATAGTCAATACATGATACACATATCATGATCTTCAAAGTACTTAGAATACATGAATAGACACAAGATTGTCTTAAAAAAACAAACAGATAATAGCACAAAATTTCATTTTCAATAAACTAATGGAAACTAGTATAAATGAAATACATTAGCACTTATTTTAAAGTACTTTTGAAGCAATGAAGTAGGTAATTTAGGAAATTATTTGAACTTCTTACTTTCTATTTATCTACCTTCTATTTTGTTCTTTATTTTATGTAATATAGTATATAATATATACACAAATACTTCTGGGTTCTTTTTAAACATTTATGTGAATTTAAACATTTACTTTATAACTATGAATTTAAATACATATTCTCATGTAAGACAAACCATACAGCATTTACACTTTCATATTACGTTCTCAAGTTGTATTCACTTGTCTACAAATGCCTCAAGTTTATTGTTTTGCATGTCACAGTACTAGTTCATTGTGTATAAATATCACATTCCTCATCCACTCATCTGTTGATGGATACATACACCATTTCCAGGATCTAGCTATTATAAATTGTGCTGCTATAACCATGGGCATGTGTGTATTCCTGTAATATGATGGTAGGGATGTACACTATTATAACCACTATGGAAATCAGTGTGAGGATTCTTCAAAAGACTAAAAGTAGAGATTCCATCTGACTCAAGTACCTCCCTTCCCAGTGTATCTTCCCACAAGAGTTAAAATCACCATTGTGCTTAGGAAGTACCTTCTACTCGAAATACTCTTGTCCTCACTTCTACTCCCACCTTTCCCCTAGTTAATTCCTACTGACACTTCAGATTCCAGCACAGACCTCATGTCTTTGGTCCCCTCCTGTCGTCACCACCTGCCATATACTGATGCATTTCGTTAACATTAGTGATTCCTGGTATGAGCTCTGTGAGGCAAAGGATCAAAGGAAAAGAAAGTTGCTAAATAAAGAGACTCAGAAAGAAAAAAAGAATAGATGTGATGAAGTTTGCTTAACTGCTATATGATTTAATCCTATAGTCATTTAGCTGTTCTTTTAAACTGTCTAAATCCCACAAGCTTCTTTTAATAAAGCACAAACTTGAACAGCAAAATCTCTCTTGGAAGGATTCACCAATAAAAACTAGTAGGTAACTTTCCATGGCATCCCAAGAAATTTCACATAGGCTGGCCAGCTATGCAATTGTTGGTAGACTCATGTGCTCTGTATCACTGACTTTTAATTAAATTCTTTTTAGAAGGTGTTTTTAATATCATCAAATGTGCAGAAATCTGTTCCGAATTTATACAATTTAAAAATCAGCCTTAAAAGTCAGTGATTTATGAAGAACACTGACTTGATGATGGCTTACAACATTTTTCCCTCTTGACAAGAGACCCATGCTGGGAAAAATAAAACATCCCAATTCTTATTCATGGAAACAGAGCTGCAAAGACAACTGTAGCTGCTGAAGGTTAACGATGCTGCCAGGAAACTCTAAAAGCAAAACCAAGGTTGGGCTGGCAGATCATTGTGCCTTTCATGTCCGATCCTGAAATATAAAACCATGGAATTTCTAATGTTAACAGACGCTTTTGTCAATATTTATTGAGGCCCTTTTATGTAGTGTACTATAGAAGACTTTAAGTGAAGGAATGCTCACTTTATAGAGCTAGATCCCGATTGAGATGCATTTGTACACTGTGTACTCAGTTTCCAACTTTTGGAGATGAACTTCATCTTATTATCCCATTAACTAAAGATAACAAGCCAGCATGTTTCCACCATTATGGGAGAGCGAATCTGAATAAAATTTGCTAAACAAATTAGTGCAGTTATGCCACAGGATTCCCCCTGTGGATGTAGACCATACCCAAAGCCTTTCCCTTGCTCCATCCCTTCTTTTAACAAAGAATCTTTGACACACTGTTTTAGTTCACCATCTGATGGGAAGGTGGGGCAGTAAGCAGTGAGCCATATTCTTCTGCACTAAGTACAAACCTTTCTTAGAAGACACCTGTAGGGAGCACCCAGTTAGGCACCTCATTTGCTTTGCACAAACCTGCCTCCCACTCCAGCTCAGGCTAGTGCAGCTTTAGTCTGGTCTTTCTTTCCACACACAACTGCAAGGCCAAGACCTTTTATAAACCATTAGCACTGCACTGCTCAAAAATATTCCGTATGTTGTGATCTAATTTCTCTAGGGCTATTGGCCTCATGATAGTTCTGCACATTAGGGGTTTGATGAACAACACAGGGCATATTAAGAGAATGTAAATTCATGTTCATAAAAATAATTTATATGACTCAGAGTTAAAAGTTAAATAAATAAATTAAAAAAAAAGTTAAATAAATACAGTACACTACAGTCTGTACTATGGAATCAGAAATGTGACTGAAAACTCCTTGAAGAAAGCTTTGTGTGTTTATACAAAGGAGACCACTGGCAAATGTTTGCTAGACTGCTCTATGTCATGAAAAGATAAGAGTTTCTAAATCAGGTGGTATTTAATTTGAAATCCAAGGAGTCCAGGTGCACTGTTTCTGTCCCTGAATAGAAACCAAATACTCTGAATGTGCATGGGAAACCTGTGTAAGACAAGGTTTCCTGAAGAGCAGCAACACTTAGCAAAACTGTACAGGAGGTAAAAGTTATCTATGCACTTGGCTTGGTGACACAGAGACCTGACCTGGCATCTGTCCCAAAGAAGCTTATCAGCAGATGTGATACATTGGGAAGTGAAAAATGTCCTGGTAGCATTTATCTTACCTTGCAATGAATTGAAGATGGAGAAGAGGTACATGAAAGGGATATTTAAGGGTCCCCAGGCAAAGAAAGCGAAACCCCACGTCATTCCCAGCAGGAAGGTTAGGCTAACTACGCTGCGCAGGTTCCGTAAGACCTCTTCTCGCAGGGTCCGGTTGCTTCTCTTGCCGTTTCTCCCACAGATCTGCACCATCACCACGATGAACATGGCAACGTTCAGGAAGAACATGACTCCAAAATACCCAGCACAAGTCACATAAAACACCACCGGGTCCTGAATCCAACAGCTTCACAAAGAAGAATGAGAGAGAAAGAGTTTGGTTCTCATGCCATGCTTAAGAGTTTTCTTTGAGTTGAACTACTGCAGATTTCTCTCTTTGACACCCTTGGAAAGTCACTTTACTTCCCTAGACCTGTGTCTTCTTTGATCTTTCACAGATGGATTTTTTCCTTTGGGTTTAGATAGGCACTATCATAATATCTAGTTTTTTAAGTCAACATGTAAAACAACACGGGGTGGCTGCTTGAATTCTGATTTGGCTCACCCCAAACTGTGTCTAACCTCCTCTTCTCTTATGTGCTTTTACTCTAAGAATTTGGGATTTCATCACTTATTTTTGTTTACTTTTGTAGTTGGGGTGTTTGTGTTATACTATTCTACAAAATACTGTGCAACCAGAAGTCTGCTGAAGTCTTTTGCCCCCAAGTCTGTCATCTTGACAAATTCATACGGGAAGAATCATTGGTAGTCATTCAAGTCACACCTAATTATGGGTTCACTAGAGTGAACAAAATAATTTCTAGTAATACAATTGGTCTAATTGAAGTGAGACCTTATGGTAGCATTGTAAGTTTCCTCTGTGAACACTTTCACGCAAAATTACAAAGGTTACTTCTATTATAAAGCATCTTATTGCACTGAAGAATAAACTCAATGCTATATAGCTTATAAAATAGAAGAAAGAAAATTTAAACTGTACTATGGGCAAAATTGACGAGTTACAATTTATAGATGCCCTAGTACCTACTGGAAGTCTATTTATGCAGAAACTTACAGTGAACTCCAGGGAACACAATACATATATTCATCAAAAATAAATTCCACAATAATTCATATTACTTACAACTCATCACCTTGTTCCTTCCCATAACTTTCTTTACCGTAGACTTCGTTTTGTTTTCTGCTCGCTAGGATAACAGACACCACTAAGGCAGGCAAACCTGTTATGAAGAGATAAGACACGCAAGGTCTCCTGAAGCACAGGGAATTGCTTTGTAAGTGCTGATAACACCAAGGGAAGGGGAAAGAAAGAAAACCTTTCATATGACAGGCTCTAGTTACTTAGAACTGGCAGTTGATTCAAACCAATAACAAAATCCTCTCCTTGGTGTGGAATCACCAGCCCTACATGGCAACAAGCAGAATCTGCTCTTCCAAGGCTAGTCTTCTCTTTGCTCAGAGATATCCACTGGAGTCTGCAGGATCTGAATCTACAGAATCCAGCACTGATGTAGCTTCACTGATGACACCACACTGGCTCTCCACAGCACAGAAATAAAGTCAGTCTTCTTTTTATATAAAGCAAACAATTTAGAAAAGGTATGAGAAAATCAACAGGGATATCAAAGCTTTATGATTTTCTTTCTTCTCTCCTAAGAATCAATAAAATACTTCCATGCATATTTCAGGAGGGACATTGATGCCACCCCAATTCCCTTAAAGATGCTTTTCTTGCCTTCTAAGAGGGCACTGAACATCTTTATTACTATCTGAAAAAGAATTGTGAGAAAACTCTAGAACACCTAGTCCAAAATGAAACCCAAGAAAAGAAAGGCGCTCAGAGAAAAGATTCCAAACAGGCTAACATGACCATTCCACGTCTGACTAAGAACTCATTTAAAAAGTTTAAAGCAAGAATTCTGTAAGTATCTTGGTTGTACACACACAAAAATAACATTCTTTCTCCGGCTTCCACAAAGTGAGCATGCGTTCAGGGATGACTACAGCACAGGGTCTCAGCCAGCCTTTCTCTTTGGAAGCATAATGGGAATGGGCCACGGTCTGCCAGCTGCTTCTCCAGACTTGGGTGGGCTGGCTCTGGGCTCAGGAAATGAGTCTGTGGTGACTCAGGCGCTAAGGCTTTCCTTTCCTTCTCAACACAGCGAGGACTACTGAAGAGGTTTTTTTTTTTAATGCAGTGCTGAGGATGCTGTTCTTCAGGATATCTGATGCACGCACATCAGCCCCATTGTTTGCAGTGCTGTTCTTTTCAAACAAGGGTTCTCCCAAGAGTAGTGGGCAATGTGACAGAAACAGCAAAGCAAAAACATTTGGGAGGCTTACCCCAACCGATGATGCAGAATTTTAGAATATAGCGGCGGATGTAGGTGTTAAATACTTTAACCAGAGCAATGTACATGTGGATCGCTTCCAGCCCCATCCAGGTGAAGGTGGCCAGGAGGAAGAAGTGCAGCAGGACGGCAACTGCTGTGCACAGTCCGTCCACCTCAAAGGAAGTGATCCAGCCGTCCAGGAGGAAGATGAGATTCAGGAACAGCAGGGCTGAACTGAGGTTCATCAAGATTTTGGAGGGATAATCCCTTCGTAGTTTCCTAGAAAAACAAAGACAAGAAGACCAAGGTGAATGTTTTAAATAAATCTTTTAGGCATGAGGACAAACTCATATGTTCTAGAACTCTGCAGTAGGATAGGTGATCCCATTCTTTGGGACAGGGTTCTACTACATGGAGGACTAAAGATATTTATGGGTACCTGGTAGGTTATAAAGACTTTTTAAACACTAATTTCTTTCCAAAACTGCTTCCAATTGTTTGCAGAATTCCCAAATGGTTTCTACAGATATTCTTCCATCCAGGAAAAATTTTAGAGTTTTAAGAATGACATTTTCATTAAAAACAAATTCCCTAGACTGCTTTGAAGTTTCTTTTTTTATGCTTTAATTCCCTTGAATTTTTTTCTGTTTCAGGGCTAATTTTATAAGATTTCTGAAGCAAATAAGTTCACCTTTTATGACAAAGAAAGCATTTTATGCAATTACATTTAATTAAATGTTAACCATCTCTAACAGATTTAAGTATCTTTTTTGCAAATAGAAACACAGTAATTATAAATTTAGTAATCTAGCTAGAACTTTCATGTTGTCTGATCCTATGAGAAACTTGAACACTAAAACTGCACTGCCCAACATGATTCACAAAGTGCAGGACTGTTCTTAAAAGCCAAGGCAATTTTCTGATTCACATTTGGAATGGTCTGTTCTGGGTTTGGCAGACAAAAAAATACTTACTCAAAAGCAACGTATGTCAGGAGGGTTGCTGCTGAGAAAATAGCAGACACTCCACACCCGATATAGGTGATGAATGTGAGTACTTTGGTGTTTCTTGCATCTATCTGGGAGGCACTTCGTGGAAGGTCCTGCACAAAACACAAGAAGCAGCAGTGAGAATTCTTGTCCCCTAACAAAGGTGCTCTGTGTCATCAGAAAATCATTGCTCACTCAGAGCAGCTCACTCTTAGAGGCTGTGAACAACAAAAATACACGGACCCTGAAATCCCATTCATCACACACTTTCAGATCAGCATGTGAGAGAAAAAGGCAGTGTTCCTGTAGGAAGGAAGCATACACTATTTTATATCTTTATCTTCTTACCCAAACTCTTAGACCCCAGTATAAGCTGAAGAGCAGAATCACTCAGTTCCCAACAGAAACTGGAGAGGAGGGGGCTGCCTTACACAATAAGCAACAGGCTCATTTCTATTTATGCAACTGAGGCCGTGAGTACAAATGGAGGCTACTGTGACCTCCTGGCCAAAACACTGGAACTTCAGATCTTTGCAGGTGGATATCCTCAGAAAAACTGGCACTGGTGGCTATGAATGTCTGGCTCTAAGGTGATGCTGAGGCTTCTAATCATGGTCATTTCAAAACATGGTATGTGTTTTGGGGGAGTTTTTAAAAAAATACTTTTAAGGACTGCAGGGCAAGAGAACCTGCAGTCCTTAACCAAGTCCTTCACCAAGAAGCAAGCCCTCCCTGCAAACTGGCACCATATGTGGCCACTGGGGTGACAGCCAACACCCCTCTCCCCCATCCCCTGCTGTTAGTGACCAGCTGATCCAGGAAACACGGGCTGCAATGATAGCTATTGAAGTAAAATACAATTTAATGCTTGTAGTGTTTAGTGTTTCACTGACTTTGCAGGTCTAAAGCCAGTAGTCTGGTCATCTATTCACAGGATAACAATACGCAGTGTAGCATCTATTGGGAATCTCTTTCTGAAGGTGGTAGTCATTGTTAATTCCCTATCATCTTGTCTGGAAGTCCTGCATCATTTTCATTATTTTGTTGGGTAAGGTTTTACTCTATTTGGTTTTGCTTGATTTTATTATATCCAATGGCATGGGTAGCTACTTCTAAGATAACAAGATATATTATAGTAGCCATTTTGGATTTAGTATTATCTTGTTTTTCAAGTCTATTGAATTCACTATTTTGTGTTTTATTGATCAGATTCTGTTCCGTTTTGTCCAGTTTTTACTATGTCTGAAAGTATCTGCAGCTATTTTGAAGACAACAAGAGGTATTATGCTAATCATTGTTGATTTCCTGTTGTTTTGAATTCTTGTGTCACTTATACTAGTTTAATTGACTTAATTGTTTTATTTTGCTTGCTTTCATTCTCTTTAAAATGAAAATTTAAAAATTTAAAAAAAAATTTTTAATGAAGCCCGGTGTGGTGGCTCACACCTGTAATCCCAGCACTCGGGAGGCTGAGGCAGGAGGATCGTTGTGAGTTCGAGACCAGCCTGGGCTTCAAAGTGAGCTCAAGGCCAGCCTGAACTGCATAGCAAAACCCTGTCTCAAAAGGACAAAAAAAATTTTTTTTTAATGAATGAGAAACTAAAATTTTTAGGCTGTATTTTTTAAATCCCACACACCTGAAAGGGCACAATTTAAAGAGTGGGTTGGGCTGGGCAGCACAAGTGCTTGGCCAAGCACAAAGTCTTGAGTTCAATTCCTGGTTACCTCCCCCCACCCAAAATTAAACAACGAAGTGTTGAGGGTTACTGTGCAATGGTGGAATAAACACTTTTCAGCATATTATGACATGAGTCATTAATTTCAGTGTTCAGGCGTACTTTTTCAAAAATCTGACATGGTAGGAAAATCTTTTCCTCCTTAAATAGGGGGTTAGAATAGGGATATATCTTAAGATAAGACCCATCACTAAACCACAGTTGGATGAAAATTGCTTCAATCATGGAAATGTTCAAAAACAGAGCCTTCTTGAAAATGAGATTTATCAAACATCCAATGTAACCTTTCAGATTCTTATGAAAAACATGTTACAGATTTTTTCTTATATATGTTAATTTTCTTTAAAAAGTCAGTAAATCTGCTACCTACACATAAGTCTTGAATAAAGTGATTGCTTGAACATATCCATGTGTGAAGTGAATAAAACAGAAAGAACAGGTAACTTTGTAACATGGAGAGGTGCAGAGAGGGACAGAAATCAGGAGACTCGAGAACTCACAAGGCAGAGGGGACTCCTCCTCATTATCCCAAGAATCTCCCAATCCCTGCAAGCACATGAGGGGTGGGTGTGCAGTCAGGTGCTACTCAGCTCCAGATAGGTTATCTCAGGCAACACTCCAGTTACTCCAGGATCTCAGACCAGAGAACTGGATCACAGACTTGAGGGACTTGGTTCTTGTAAAACCTCTCCTCCGGTCTAGGTAAGGCAGCTCACTTGCAAACCACAATACAACCCAGAACTCAAAGTAAACATTAGATAGTACTCTTTACTAATATGTATTTATACAGAATTTTTATGTTGCTTTAAATGTACAGAGAATTAAAATATAAAAGTATGTATCCCTCTAGATTTGCCAACATGAAAATGTACTAGTGTTAAAAATCTGCAGAGAAGTAGAGCAGAGGGCATTATACTCTACACACTTTTGTAGATTAAAAGATGCACTTATGGGTTTCTGTGCCATGGGAAAATTTAGACTCTGGTAATGTGCAAGTGAATGAAGAGTTTATCTAGCAAGAAAAATTCTTAACAATGTCTTGGTGGTCTGGAAAAGGCTGAAAGGATACAGTTACATTGCCAGAAAGGATAGATTTTGGAAAGTTTTTCTTCCAGCAGTTTATAATCTTACAAATGCAGTCAAGATGGAAAGTGGAAAGATAACATGAAACATGTCTATTTCCATATATATTTATACAAAATAAATAATTTAATCAGATGTGAACATAAAAGTAATAAGCAAATTACAAACTCAGACAAAGGGACTAGAGAGTCAAAGCAATGGGCAGTTAAAACTTGCTTGGATAAAAATCATCCCTGAGTAGTTAATTTGTTTTTGTTATCTTTATATACTAAACTTTAGTCATATCCACACATATGATTTAAATGAATTAAGTGGCAGCTTGTATTCCTGAATGACTAATCCCATAAAATAGGTTATTTTATAAAAGAATAGCTGCCACCACTTTTAAAGAAAGGCAAAGATGAAAACAAAATTTAAATTTCTTTTTACATTGCTATTGAAAAATGTGCTACCATTTAATTGTTGATAATCATGTTCTGCCAGAGGATAAAAGCTATGCATACTTTATGGCCATGAAAAAGTCATTTTCTGTGATTTGCCACCTTTTTCAATGACTTATTCTTATCCCTCAGAGCATTTATGTCCTGGGTTGTCAGGAAAATCGCAGCTTGCAAAGCTGCCATACGACAATGGCCACTTGCAGAGGCCAAGTAGTTCAGGAGCCAAGTACTACATCCCGCAGTTCCTCGCTGGCTCCTCTCAGGCCCCACAGGAAGAGGGGTGCAAGACTGAAGAGAAAGGATAAACACAACCTCATGTCTGTGTTTCCAACTGCAAAAGCTTTAATGTTTCAGCTGACATTGCTCCCATATCCTATTAAAAAAGCAAACGTGGTTGATCCCTTTTTGGAAACTACACTGAAACTAGAGCCCTGGCAATATCGGAGGCTGCTCTAGATACCAGGGAAATGTTTGCAAAAACACAAATGGATGGGGATAAAAGGCAAAGGTGTAGTACTATAGATGACTTCCAACCAGTCCTTGGGTGAGGTGGATTTTGAAGATTTGGTGAGCTGAAAACACACACTGACCTACTTATTGGCTGAAACTGTTGGGTACACAGGCTAAGGATGGCCATGGAAAAGGAGGAGGGAAGAAAGGAACAAGGTCCTGAGCATGAGAGAAATGCTAAGCCCATCATTTCTCTTGCAGGACTGAAGTCTCCATGCTAACTTGAGTCACTAACCCGTCCTTGCAGACTGCCATCTCCAGGAGAGGTAGTCACCTGTCACACACTCATGGTACAGAGTAGCAGTCAAACCTACTGAGTTATAACCTACCGAAGAAACTTTTTCATCAATCTGAATTTTCTTCCATATTAGTAACATCCACGATTTTCATTTGAATTTTTTTCCTTCCTTTCCTCTCCATATCCTTATCTCCTTGATTTTACTTCTCTAAAGAGTTTCATGAGATTTTATTTTCTCTAGATCTATCATACCTCTTAATACTATGAAAAAAGAACAGTTTTTTCCCATAATTTCTTCCATATAATTGTAATGTATGCTCTCTGCTATCAGAGTATTGTTTAAGATTCAAGATTCAGGGTACAGATGAATATTACCAGGAACTAATTTCCAAAACACATAGCCTAAAAAGGTGGACTCACAGAAAACAAATATGCCTTCTGAAATTATACCACATCATCTCCCCCTTACCATGAGGACCCCAAAGTGTGTGAAGTGGTTACACAGGCAGATGGTCTCACTGGCATCTGAATCTCTGTGAGCAACACATCCTGACGTGTTCCATCCCCCAAAACTCTCTGTGGAAGGAATGGACAAAGTGTGAGAAAACAACAGTAACTTTTCTATGTGGGTTGAGAATGTCTTCAGGGACACTGGCTTTAGTTCCTCCTGGTTTACAGACTTTATCTGTAGGAGCGATACAATTCTTTTGTGTGTGTGCACGGGTGTTACTGGGGTTGAAGCCCAGTAAACATCCCAAGAGGTTCTCTCCCTCGAGCTATCTACTCAGACTGTTGACCTTTCATTATTGCTAATTTTTTTTTTTTTTGATACAGCATCTCACTAAATTACCTAGACTGGCCTCAGATTCGTGATCCTTTGCCTCAGATTCTTAAGTAACTGAGATTATCATTCTTAAAACCATTAATACCTAGAATGATTTAGATTCTTAGAATCATGAAATGTTAGTGCTGGGCAGGCAAAGGGAGACTATCGAGTTGGTATGTTCTATTGAAGTAACTCGGGGAGGCTTCAGGTATTTGATTCAAGTATAACTTTTATAAAAATAAATGTCTAGGAAAAGGGCAATCTTTTCAAATATATTTCATATGGACTCATGGGAGACAAACATATCCACCCCTGCCTGCCAAGATCAGTACACATCTTTGTGAAAATATAAGAACCAAATATGTCTGGTTTCTCAGAAGATGCTATTATATATGCAGCAGTTACACATGTGATGATTACTACAGATCATTTTAATGCACCTTAGGTGACTTGGATGGTATAATGTGACATACAAGCCACTCATGTTATTAAAATATTGATCCATTTATTTTAAGATACCAGGAAATTTTTGTAATGATGAACACTACTTGAGTAAATCATGATATCAAAACTGTGCAACTAATACCCTGAAGAACAACACTGACCTCCCCCCCCACCACAAGGAATCTAAAAGAAAGGGAGAGGGTTTGTCCATTCCAAGGTATATATAGTTTAAATATTCCTACATGATGCCAGGTCTGATTTTGCTACAATGATTTCAGTGAGGGACACTGAGGGAAAGTGATCTTTCGAGGGCAAAACCATGAAGTTTCATCGCTTTTACTGCTCCTGAAAAGCATTTACAAATCTAACCATTTGCCTAATGATTGGCTTTTCTCTTAATTTTGCCTTCCTTTCTTGGCTGTTAAATGCCACCGTGGAGGCTCTTCATTGTTTTCCACGTCCCTTACCACCATTCGAATCTCTACACTTACCTTCCTTAAGTGTGTTTTTCACCACTTTACACTTTCTGGTCTGGAAGCTTCATTTCTAATTGTACGCCTTAGGCATATGAAAGAGTCCCTTTAGAAGTGTTCTAGAATAATGAGACTATGCACATCTCCATTCAGCTAAAAGTGTCAACACAAATGCATACTGTATTTCACAAATAACTGAAATTGAAGAGGTTGTTTTTTTTTTTTAAAGAAAGAAAAAGTCAAGTTCATTGTGCAAAGCTGAAAACTTAAGCACTTATAACTGACTCACCAAGCTGTCTAAACCAAATCTTGCAGCTCACTTGCCCTTATACTTGTGACTTATTTTGGTTGTTGAGGCAGAATGAAAAGAAATGGGTATCTAACAATGTTTAAAATTCAGTTCTCATTTATATTAAAGCAATCTGTATTTTAGAAACTTACTGTTTTTGTTCAGATCCCAGAAGGCACAGATGGGCTGATGTACTTCCTATATTAACATAAAAATAAATACATGAAATTGTGTTTCAAGTAACTGAAAATCATATAATTGAAATGTGGCAAGAGAATGAACATGGCCATGGTTTCACAAAGCAATAGGTCAGCACTAGACAACCTGGATAACCTGAAAATATCAGGGGTGATTATTCACGTAGAGACTTCAGGTGAAAACCAACTATAACCTCGTGAAGAACCACATGACCCATTTTCTGAAATTTACCCTTGTTTTTCTACAGTCCCACCATTAAATACTAAATCCACTATCATTCTTAGCATTTAGCAAAGCTATTCACACAGTAATCTCCCATCAGTCTTCCAAATGTAGTCTTTTTTTAAAAGTTTTTTTGTTGTTGTTCTTGGGATCGAACTCACATCCTCATGCTTACCAGGCAAGCTCTTGAGCCACTGAGTTAAATCCCTGGCCCTTCAAAATGTACTCTTACTCCTAGGTATATACATAAACAAATTAAAAACTGGACTCTGAGATAATTATACACATAATACTCAACAGTACTATTCACAACAAATAAGTAGAAAAAGCAACTCAAAAGTCCACGGATGGATGAATGGATAAACAGCGTGTGACATATACATACAATGGAATATTATCCATCCCTGCAAAGGAAGGAAATTCAGACGCTTGCTACAATGTGGGTGAATCAGCAGAGGGAAGACAGAAAGGCTCTGGAGATGTATGGTGGTGATGACTGCACGACAATATGAACATAGTTAATACTACTGGATGCATCGTTTAAAATAATGAAAATTTTATGTATGGCAGGGCTGAAAACAAAAAGAGGTTGAGGGTAGATTGAGGAGGTCTTTGGGGGTTCGTGACAAAGGACGGTGGGTTCTTTAATAACTTAACTCAGGTCCTTTGAGCTTTTCAGTCTGCTTACTTCCTGTCTGCCTCCCTGCTTGTCCAATACAAGGCAGGATGGTGACTGCGACCCTCTACACAAGTGTGGAAGTCCTGCCTGGGCCACTGGGAAATATGAATTCTCATCTGACTACTGCGTAAAGAGACGACAGCAAGGACAATAAAGCAAGGAAAACTCTGCCAAGGTTTTTAGCACCTGCTAATCTCTTAAAGACTGAGTCCACCCTCTCCTGTTTGTTCCTTTACTTCCCCAGCCTTAGTTAGCTTTGACTTTAGAAATACAAACAAACGATCAAAACCTCTAATGGCAGAATGGTGCAAACGCATTTGCACTCAATTTACTTGAAGTATATATGTCATCTCTTAAGAGGGGCAACCTCTTTTTTCACTGCCATTTTTTCTTTCTGGTTTTTGAGTGCTACGTAAGACCAGTTCTCCCCTAGCTGCCACTTTTACTGTGAACAGAGCCTAGCTGCCTAGCTGTTCCCCCTTCTGGAAGATATATTTCCCATTCACAAGAATGAACAGTTACCTTTTATCATGTCGTGGCAAAACAGTATAATAGTTGCACTATTAAATTTCTATTTGTATTATTTTCTTACCTGAGTTACTGTATGTTTGATTTTAATTTGAACAGGATCCTTCAGATCCTGAATAGTAATGTTTCCAATACTGCATGCCATCACATAGCTCACTAAGGTTTTTCTTTGGGGTCCTACATCCTTTTAAAGGAAAAAAAATGAATAGCGTGCATGAGTCAGATGTACACAGTTTTATTTTGCTTTGCTGGTCCAAAATAAGCAAACCATCAGCAATTTTTACACTTAAGATCTTCAGTTCTAGAATATCCTGTTTATAACATCAAATTACTGGCTTTCCTGAAGGAGCTGTGCTATTTCCCTTACTATAATAAATACATCGAAGGAACATTCTGACCCAATATTATAAATGTCCATAAAGCTCCATTCTTGATTGGAGTGACTGATGTCAGCCAGTTAACATCTAAAACAATGCAAACCCATAAATAATATAAACTCATAAAAAGCTGTGAACAATGAGATCATTTCCTACTCTAGAAAACAGGTGAAGCTGTTTTCCTTTAGAAGAGAATGAAGGAAATATGGTGTGAAAAATAAAAAGCCATTTGTCTTTCACATCCATGCCAAGGGCCTGATGTGTTTACTCATACCCAAATGCAACTCCTCTCTTTTCAAGTCCCATTCAAAGTTCCACCCCGCGGACTGTGTACGTGCCGGCAGCTGCAGATTCCCATTCAGCGATAAGGGGGCTGAGAAATCAAGTCAGCAAATGTGCTGAAAACCCATTTGGACCAAACGGCCCTCTCTTTAGTGAGCTCTTTCCTTGTCTTCCACTCGTATTTCTTGTCAAACGTCCTGAATTTCTTTCTGCACCACAGTTTATAAGTCAGTTGTTTTGGAATAACTGTAAAATTTCTTAAATTCCAAACAGACCTCAGCATTCAAATACAGCTTTCTAAATTACATTTTATGATGGTCACCATCAAAAACACTCAAAACTAGCTGGTAATACCCAGCCTTTTACTTAAAACACTTCCATGCTGCTCATTCTCTTAGGGAAGTACCAGAGAGCCTTGAACATATTTTATTCTGCTGCAGATTTAGTTCAAAAGCCCAAAGGATACTGCTTCATAATAACTTTGATTGGAAGATGCCAAAGGAGAAAAAATGATGTGGAGAAGAGCTGACACATAACAGTAACAGATTCTTACCGCTCTAAGAGTTGTATCAAATCTTCCCACAGGACAGACCTCTCCCTAAACTGGATCCCCTTGTCTATCATTCGTATTATGTGACACTTTTTTTTTATAATCAGTATGAGTTTTCAATGTGACATTGCTATAAGTCTCAAGTCAACATAATTTTAACAAACGCAGTTGTATGTATTCACAGTTATAAAGTTCTTTAGAGATCACATATTTTATATAAAATAAATTGTTTATATAATCACAGATATGCTAGTATAAAACATTGGCACATACAATTTTGGAACTATATTCTTCCCCGGTGCTATGGTATTCTTTTTCTTTATCTATAAATTATTTGACCCTTACATTATGCATGATACAGAGGGTGATATATTAGAAACAATCCTGGCGTCCTTGAGACAACTTTCTTTGACATATTGGCACTGTCGGACACAGGCTGGTATTTTGAATTCAACTCACATCTGTTATTTTCAAGAAAGAATTTGGCCAAACTGCTCTAGATGCGGTTGAACTCACAAAGGCAACCGGAGGTCACCAGTGTTTGCTGGCAGCAGACCTTCTAGTATCTAGAACTGATGCCAATAAAAATTATAATATGTGCTCAGCACAATGCCATCCTACTCTGCGGATGTGCGAGGGCCAGAGGTCACTTGAAATACTAATGGGAAAAATGATTAAAGCCAAGAATGTTGCTCATTATGTAAACAGTGCTTCCTGCTGAACTAAAAAAAAAAATCCTTTCTTTTGGTGTATAATTTCTTTAACTTTCAAAGTCTAAATGACCAAAGAGCAAGGCATTTACCCACAGGAATATAGAACAGTTACCTTTCCACTAACTCAACTTCTAGTTGTGTTACTCAAGTTTTAATCTAATATTTGACTTACTAGAAAAACTGGAATAAATATATCAAGTTAATAAGAATATTATCTGAAATAAAATATTTAAACAGTTAAGGTGCTTTACTTTTGAAAATGAAGTAGTTCAACTTTTCTACATTTTATGATCTATTACAAAGGAATCTGAATCTTTACTTTTATCCCCAGGTAAAGAAACTTCAATGGCAACTGAAAAATCATAATTCAATGAAGGCTCACCTGGAAAAGTCCAGTTTTATTAAAGAAAGTAAACTGTGCTCTTCGAACTAACACGGAATCTTCTTGACTTAAATTCTCAAGTAAGTTTGGAGGCAAAATTACAGAAGCCAATGAATCCACTTGTCCATTCTCAAAATCCATCTGTCAAACCATGACAAAGCAGCAGACTGATCACAATGACATGGTAATGGTAATGGAGAATTAGTGTTCTACATGCTGAGTAGTTGACAGAACAATTTCAAGTATCAAGTTGGCTTAGACAAAATTTGTCCTTCACTGCTACACAGCAGTACCTGCAACTCCTAAATAAATTCCCTGTAGTGAGAGCCACAGATCTCATTCTGGGTTTATGTGTGTGGCTAAGCAGTAAATGCTTTGACTGTAACTGGGGCAAAATGAGATATATACAAACCAGTCAAAGTTTCAAGAATAAGAATTAGATTTAGTGATATCATACATGGAGAGTTCTTCAAAAACAGTAAGAGATAATAACTCGAGGCAGAGACAGAGACAGAGAAAGACCGAAGGTTAATTATTTGATGACAGAGACCGAATTACCTCTGCAAAGAGACAACAGTGGAAGTTTGAGAACATACTCTGGTATCATTTTTCCTGAAACTATAGCTAAAACTAGTGTACCTTCTTAAGTACTTTTGGTATGAGACTGAGTCCAAATTGTTTTTCATTCTTAAAATATGAAAAGATAATTTCCCCCAAAAGCCCTTAGTGTAAGAGAAAAATGGTTTTGCCTGATCTCAGTCCCAGAATCTTCTATTTTTGCGTTGTTTATCCCCACAGCTAAAGAAATATTATGCTTCTCTCTCTCTCTCTCTCTCTCTCTCTCTCTCTCTCTCTCTCTCTCTCTCTTCCAGGTCAAGAACCATGGTGCACTCATTTTGCTTGGTGTGGTGGTGAGTGAGCATTGACTGGTATGTAGTTGGCATCTGAAAATTATGCACTGAAGTCTGATTTTAACATGTCCAAGAGGCACACCATTAACCCGGTCCCAGATTACTTGTCCACCCTCACTGTCCAGACATCTACATTATTGGGTTTTCAAAGTGTGATCTTCAGGGCAGAGGTATCAGAGATATCTGGGCACTTGCAAAAAGCACAAATCTCAGGGTCCTACTCAGCATCTATAAAATGAGAAGCTGTGTGGTTAAGGCCCACCAATTCATTTTAATGAGTCTTCCAGGTTGCTCATGGTGAGACCCAGTGGCAAAGTGAAGATCCCCTAGTCCTCCCATCATGAGCCTTTAGTAAAGTTCCTTCTCACCACCTGATCCTCACATCCACTCCCAATATGGTGGCCCTATGTGTGCTTTAGCCCTTCATTCCATGGTTCCATGGTACTTCCTGTGGAAGGAATCTGCTATCATTCAGGCTATGAATATAATTCCTACATGCTTCCACATCACCTTTTGACTGCTGCTATAATTAAACATAGCTAACATTCAGATCTGCTTGTCACTTCTTTGACCAAGATTTCCTTGAAGTGGCAATTGTTAAGTGATTAGAAAGTTTATATTTTCCTAATTAATTAAAATTAAATAAACCACTGGCTCCTCACCTGGAAATATGAGTCATTATTGCTTGGAAGACCAATGCTAAAATTTGAAATTGTACTCATTCCTGGGGTCAAGGATGATACTCCAAGAGCCAAATTTCGAGTTGCAATATTCACATGTGGTGTGCTATTTAGGTCTATCTTGAAGGCCAATTCATCAATTGTTTTCAAAGCTCTTAAAGAGATAACAATAATATGACTGTTAGATAACACAATGTTTTATTACTTGAACACACACGTTTAGCTGCATGGCAAAATGCTAACCAAATGTAATCACCTTTAAATTTTCTTATCTTAATGTAAATAGCAACAAAATTACCCCAAACCACAACCATATCAGTTAAAGAACACAGTGAGGCTACATTTTTAAGAGAACTATCTGCTCAAAGGGAGAGAAACAACTAAATCATCCTGAACAAATACTGTTTTTCATTCATCTTAGCTTTCCTCTTCATACATGAAAAATGTTCTCTCCATGAGAACCAAATAAAACTATGTAGCAGAAGTGTTTTAGGAACTGCAAGACACTGTAAAAATATTTGTGATCATTACTATTAGTATGAAGATATGATAAAGAATATTTTTGTAAATTTTCTTACTAGAATACATTTTTTTTCAGTAACAGGAATTGAACCCAGGGGGTACCTACCACTGAGCTGCATCCCAGCCATATGCATATTTTACTTTGAGACCAAGTTTCACTAAGGTGCCCAGCCTGGACTTGAACTTGCATCCTTTTGTCTGAGCCTCCTGAGTATTTTAGATTACAGGCACGTCACTTTTAAGAGGCATGATGAAAACTATATGAATGTTTAAACTTTAAAAAATTATTGCAATAAAAGACCTGCTGCTATTAATTCCCCTCACTTGAAACACACTTATCCGGTCATGCTTGCCACTGTCTAAAGCACTTCTGGAAGCCCTCTTTTGTGAGTGTCTTTAGTTACAGTGTTGCTGCCTTAATGTCTTGAAGCAATTAGAACTGTTTAGTGTTCATGGCCTGCTTGACTTTGGGGAAAAATGAGATGTCACATGGTCCCAGGTCCAGTGACTAAAGTGGATGAGGATATACCACAATATTTTTACAAGTCTGCCTTTTTTTTAGATGATATTTGGCACTATTCATCATATTTTTGATTAGATCTCATAAAAACATTCATGAAAGGACTTCCAGAACAGCTTCAGAAAGTACAAAAATTATGGAATAAACATGTTTGAGGGTAGAGGAGCATTTTGAGGGGGATTAATGGCCATGCATCTTTTACCATAATACATTTTTAAAAATGTGAACATCATGTATTTTGAACACAACACATACATTTTAATGGATATAATATGTTACTCTAAAAATGTGTTTGGAAGGAAGGAAATGGAAAAACGTTTAATAGCTTAATGTTAATATGTCAAATATATATTAAATATATATAAAGTGCATTCTACAAAAATAGGTTTCTTTTCATCTATCCTGTGCATTCTCATTTTGGAAGTACACATTGCTGTGATAGTCTGTGGCACAGTTCATGTGACAGTTCCCTTAAAATCATCCCATAAAATTCTTCAAATGATAAATATATTATGCTTTTTGGGCACTATTTATATGTTTGCCAGATGACAACACTATTTTGTAAATTGTATTTCTCAAAAAATATAGAACTCTGAAGTTTGTGAAGACTCTGGGAATGATCTAGGCATCTTTCAGAGATTTGAGTTACCAAGTTTGGGCATAGGGAATTCAAATAGTTGTGAAATTACATAAAAACACACTTAGCCAATAAAGTTTACCTTATAGGAAAAGAAAAAAGAGATACTTACTCGGAAGAAGACTCAAGCAAGTCATTATCTGAACTGCTTAAGATATTAGAAAATATATTCATTAGAGTTGAGCCGAGTGTTATATCAATATTTTCTTCCTTATTCACAATTCTTTTGACCTGTTCTACAATGCTGTTAATATTGGCTGAAGTTAAATTCTGTCCATCAGCAGTTAAATTTAAAATCTGATTGGCAACTTCATTTGCTTCCCCTAAAAAATGGCAGAAGAAACAAAATACAAAGTTTTACCTGTGCATTTTAAGCTCATTCAGGAAACAAGCATAATGTGATATTTTGCTTTATAGGTAAACCACGCAAATAGGGTTCCTGTTTGTACATCTATCACCATCCTCACAGGGTTATAATATTTCCTTGTATACAGAGAGTGGTTCTCTCAGTGTTCACATATCATTCTAAAGAAATGGCCCCAGAATCAATGAATAAGTGTAGACTGGCTGTTTTAAAAATATCAAACTATATAATATCAAACTATATATTGATAAAACAGTAATTCACATATTATTTATGTCTTCTCTACAATTTTCTTACTATTTTTAATTTATAGAATAAATAGAACAAAAAGATGTAATGAAAGGAAAAAAAGTATTTTCTAACTTAAGTAAAACAATCATTTGCTTAACTTTTAATATTACACTAGTAACACACAGCAGAACGTGTCTGAGTAGGATGAAAACCATGAATTTATTTCCTTTTATAAGCCAAGAGACACTTCTTACTTACTTGAACAGTTGGAAACATCAAGCGGTCCCCAAAAGGCTAATGATGCATTGCGATAACTATAAAACAAAGCAAAAAATATATTTCAAGCACTTGGCGTAAGTGACACAATCAGTAAGCTTTAGGGTTTTCCTTAATATCTAGGTAAGTTTCATTTGAAAATACAAAATAAATACAAAAATACAAAAATAAAGCTGAAATACACTGAAATAAAACATATTAAAAATTCATGATGGAACAAAATCAGTAACTGGCACCAAAGAAACAAAGTCCTAGCAATATGCTTTATCCTAACCTCGGTAGTAGGTCAAGGACTGCTTTCAGGACAGGGTTTTGATTTCACATTACTCTGGAATACAGATTATAATACACATGTTATAGATAAGGAAATGGGCTTAGATAAACCAAGAAATTTTCCAAAGTCTCCAGCCAGGAAGAGGTAGGGCCACATGTCAAATTCCAGGCCATAAATCTGCAAGCCTCTTTTGCCTCCTTCCTACTGAATGTCAGGCACAACAGTTGATGCAAAGTACTTACACTTGAACAGTTTCCGCTTCTGAGTTCCCTGTAAGGAAACCCTGACTGGGAGTAGAGTGGGTGGTGAGAATTAGACACGCCTTGTGACAGCTCAGTGAATTGTTGCAATGGTTTTTACCCTGATGTTTCTGTTAGGCATTCGGGAAAATTTTCTATTCTCTGAATGTGTCCACCATCGACTGCCTCAAGTTCGATCTTGTTCCCTCTTTACTGTTCCTCTCTTTTCCAAACAGAAAGTTTGGGGTTCCAGATTTGTGCTCTGAGGCTGAAAGCTGGTTTATCCGTACACAAGCTGCAAGGCTCTCCACCCACCTACAGTGCTGTAATTCTCAGTCTCTCTTTGGACAGGGCTCATTTGGCAGTGCTGAGGAAAACACTGCCGTTCTGGGTAACCTACTTACCTTATCTCCACTTCCCAGAAGTGAATGATTCAGAGACCTGCAGCTTGCGGCCCTGCCTCCCAGTCAGTACAATGCATGAGAACTATTAGCTGGCAAAGTCAAAGAAATTATTACCATGTCCGCGAAACCGAGAAGCCGGGCTTGTCAGGACATGGGAGGCTGTACTCAGCAGGGGAGATCGCTGGCCAGTGAAAACCTTTGGGTTCCTCCACGGAAACACAGATGCCTACGAGAAAATAAGACCAACATGGAAACAGCATTCCTTTCCTTCATATTTAAGGTGTGCAAAGTGGAAGCCTGGAGTGGGGCATAGATTTCATGTAATGACAAAATCATTCCAAAGAAATATCCCCAGAATCATTTTATATTCAGAATTTTTTAAAGTTCAGAGGTTAGAAAGAATAAACATTTAAAACATTTCAGATATACAAATTAATATAGCTTACACAATCACCCAATAAAAAGACCCATGTATATGAGTGCATATAAATGTGAAATATAATGTACTCATGCACATCAATCATCAGCAGATATTGGTAAATTAGCTTTATTTGAAAAACAAATACTTTAAGAAAAAAGTTTCCGAGAAATTATGTGATTTGATACTGTTAAAAGGAAACACCTATAAAAGTGTGTGTTAACAGTATTATTGCTGAGTTGGGAGCATATTTTCTATTTCTCTGATAATCTCCCCTGCCTAAAACTTAGCAGCAAATAGCAAGAAGGTTCCTGTCCTCCAGCACCACCTGCTTAACCTCACTGTTTCAATCCAAATCATCCTACTTTTTGTTAGGAAACGTGCTGAGTAATCTGTGACAAAAATGATTCAGATTTTGTAATTTGAGAAAAGCAAAGTAACAGCAAAATATCAACAACCACCATAAAATCCTATATTTCTGAACTGAACAAAAGCAAGTTTATATCTGACTTCTGGGAGCCAGTAGGAAAGTTTTCACAAACTGAGAATTCAAAGGACTTTCCCACTGGAAACATGATTTTTAACAGTCACACTTCAGTCTTTTGTTTTCAAATGACAGAGACTTTTCTCTACACATTCACTTACAGTAAAAGAATAAAATACAGAGTTTAATTGAAATGCTATAAATTAATATCCAAGTATGCAGAAAGAGTTATCCATCCTGGGCTTCTTCAGCCCTTGAGGACAGGGCCTCTGGGTCATGTATGCCTGGTGTTTATCACATTACTTCTTTGTGGGGACTTCTGTGTGACAGGGCATCAGTTGTGATTTTACTCCCCCCGCCCCCAAGAAGCTCTGTGTTAGGAAGCAGGTATTTTCCCACAGGGATGGTATTTATTATTACCAATTCTTGGTATTCACCAGCTCACTGAACTCTACTAATTGTGTAAACTGACAGAGTGGAGTCGGGGGTCCCTCACAGAAGCAGGGGTGCCTGGCTGTTTCCCATGACTGGGCTTCTGTCATGAGCACCCTCTTAGAGGCTGAGGAGCACCTGCTTTCCCCTTCAGCCGCCTGAGTGTATGTAAGGTGAAGCATCACACTTGACTCTTTCTTGACATCTAAGAAGATAGATAATTGTAGGCATATAATAATGTTAGAACAGTTTTGATCCTATGCATATTTTTGAACATTTGCTTTTTAAAATTAGTTCCATCATGATTCATTCATTTAACCAGTATTCAAGTACTGAGGAATGTATTGGGTTCTTGAAGTAAAGGGTTTAAAAAAATGAGATATAATTTCTTACTGAAGGAAACTACTATCTAAAGAAAAATCTTAAGAACATAAATATGTATAATAAGACCCCCCTTGTCTTTTTCTCTCTGTCCCCCTCCCTCCACTCAGTTCCTTCCCTTCCTGTGTGTGCATTTGTGGTACTGGAGATTGAACCCAGGGTCTTCACACAGCCTCCATCCCTACTCCCTTTATTTGGAGATGGGGTCTTGCTAAGTTGCTAAGTTTCCCAGGCTCGTCTCAAACTTGCAATCCTATTGCCTCCACTTCAAACAGATTTGCAGGCTTATACCCGTGTCTACTAGGCTCTGCTCCCAAGATTAGCTTCTCTGAGGTGTATGAGGAACAGGTACCTGGACAACAAGAAGTGGAAGCTCAGATATGGTGATAAATATTTACACATGATGATGCCACGAAAGGCCTCACAGTGAACATGACTTTAGAACCACTTTTAGAAATATGTAGGTGATAACTGAGTGGACAGTGAGAGAACAGAAGGGCACGGAGATGCCCAAGAGCACGTCTGGGGAGAGCAAGCAGTGCCAGAAGTGAATGGGGTGTGGGTGGGAAGCCATTTGATGTCCAAGATAGTTGAGGCTCTCAGATGTCTGGCCTATTTCTGCAGACAGTGGGATTAGTAATGGAGACAGACAAGATGAGAGAAGGAAATGCTTTACAGCAAGATTTACCTTATTAGAGTTTCCATATCTGCATATGCACATGCTTTTTTAAAGTTTCTGAAGTTGAAGCCAAATTGTGGTCAAGTATTCTGGCATTTGCTCATATTTTTGGTTTTTTCCTAAAATACCCTTAAAATATGTATGAACCTTCATTTGCCTCCTTTATCCCTTAGATTCATAGGTATGAGTTGTTTTTTTTCTTCTTTGTTATGTCACCCTTTTGGTCCAGTATCTCCAATACAACAACTTTTATCATCAGAAAGAATACATTCACATAGACAAACAACACACAAAAGAAGACAGCCTCTATTGCTGCGCAGTTAAACCTGAATACATAGTCATATAATATGCACAGTTTAAGAAAACCAGTCACTCACCCAGTTGTCTCACATTCACCGTATACAGTCGCAAGCCCTCATCCAGGGACTTGTTATTTTGCAAAAGCTTCTCCTGAATGATTTTTCCTTCTAAGTGGACGTTGTTGGTGTCATTGTAAATGATAAGGGCCCAAAGCGCCATCCTAGAGAAACATTTCGAACAGACTGTCATTAGAGTTGTCGACCGGGTCCTTGTTTTTTGGTAAGAAAAAAAGGACACTTAGCCCTGGAAGGAGGACCTTGAATTGTGGAGACTGAGGTTAGTGAAGGTGCCCTGGGCTTTCTCAGTTGCTCCACACATTTCAGTGATAAAATACCTCGACATTGAGTAGATTTTTGTAAGATGCTACACAACTTATGTGTAACTTTACCATATAATCCTATTTGTTCTCAAAATATTTTAATATAAATGTCAATAATATTCAATGTATTAAGTAATAATATTTTCTAATGTTCACATAAGAATGGGTTTTATTTGTGGCTAATTCTACATTGTTTTTTTATGGCCAGGAATAATATTTTTAAAGAAAATTAGAATTTTAATTGATAATTGATTTGAAATTATTAACTACTACTGCTTAAAAATGTGGCACAATTTCTCCAAATAAATGAAAAATAATTTTTCATTTTTATGAAGATTTGTAAATGTGTTATATGGTAAAATTCATAAATACTCAAAACACGTTTTGTGATTGTCAACGTGTTATCAAAGACAGTCTCAATGTGTGACTTTAAGATTTTTAAAACTAAAATCTTTACAAAAAGTAAAGAACTGTATCCTAAAATCCCTGGCAAAACATTTGATTATATAATTTAAAGCGATGCAATTTTATGTTCAACTATAATCAGAGCTGTAATCAACACCAGAAATCAAAACTAATAACTCAACACTGAGATAAAATTAAATAACATTATCTTGTCAGGTAAAAGAAATCCCTTCCCTTAGATGTGATATCTCTAGGCTTGCAAAAAAACTTTCATTTTGCTTCATATTCAAGGAGAAATGACTAAGATGACACAGGCACTGTATTATCAAGGCAGTTACTTTCTGCATGTCAGAGGCAAAGATAAAGCCTGCAGCTACTTCCTGGAGAGGCACTGGCATATTTCCTTTATGAAATCTCATGAATATGAATAAAAATTAAACTTCTAATATATTTTCAGGGCTAAAAAGGAGTAAGTTAAATATTTGCCATTCAAAGATAGGTGTAATTAAGTAACTTCATTTCTCCACTGCAAATATTGGCTCTCTCAAGTACAGTGTTGTGCTGCTCTTATAATTTATTCTGAAAAACTGCTTATTTCTAAAATGATCAACCGCTAAACATTCGTATATAAACCATATTCAAGATAAAGCGATCACAGATAGGAATACACTGGTGAACTGTGTTGTCTTGGTCAATTTTGAAATGATCTGTGGAACATTGTCCCTTGATTAAACTTTCGTCTGAAGATAAGCTTTGCCACTGGGTACTGAGAATTTAGAATTGGGAGTGTAACATTTTACTTCTTTTGCATATCATTAGCACTGTCTTACAAATGGTATTGCAAACCCCAGCTTAGCCACTGAAGAATAACCGTGTACTTTCACAGTCCTTATCTGTGTTTTCCTTTCTCATCCTGAAAACTGAAACTATTTCATGGTTCTACAAAGTTAAATTCTATCTGCTGTTACCATCAGACATTCTTTATTTGGACAAACCTGACTCTGTGGCTCTGGCTTCCTGCTTGTCTAGGACATAGAGTATGATAGGATTATCTAAAGCTATAATGACACAATCAGACTGAAAAGAAAACTTTGGGGAAAAGAAGAATATGTGAAACTAGCAGTTGGAGAAAAACAATGAGAAGCAATAAAGCTTCACTGATGGGCATAAGAGCAGCAGAGAACGGAAAAAAAGAGGCTCTAAAATAATTAAAACAATGTTAAAAATTCGTTCTAAGGGGAAACTAAATAGAATCTGCCCTCATAGATTGTCTTAGTTCATTCTATAGTGTTCTGTGAAGTTATTCATTGATTCCACAGACCAGGAAATCGAGATTCTCTGAATCTGAATGCCTCTCAAGCCAGAGCTCCTGAGGTGCAGACATATGCTATGCTGATGGTGGCTGATTTTAGTACTAGCAGACACAGGAAGAACCAAATTAAGAAAGCTATGAAGGGAATTCTGGGAAATGTAAAACACGGGGATACCCAAACAGGTACTGTCCCCACTGCTAGACAGAGGTCCAGCAAAGGGATCCAGGTTGGTGCTGGTGCATCTTGGAAAGCCTAGCATAATCTAATAGTAAGGCTGGAAAAGAAATCATGTTACTAAATAGAAAAATCTTGTCATTTACAGCATTGAAATATATCACTCTGTTTTCCAACCATAAAACAAAAAACCAATAGTGTCAGAAAATAAAATCACTCTCCCCTAATGAGGTGGCTTGATCCCGTACATTGAATATATAACAGAAATTATGACTTTCAATTTAAATTTAGAAACATTTGTTGATCTAATGTTAAATAGAATGTAAATCAAGAAAGATCTCAGGTCAACTTTCAGAGAAGTTTTTGTTTTTATCTTCTCATTGTAAGAAAATACTTCCTTGAAAAGAAGCATAGCCTAGCATCACGTTTGTTGTCTCTAACATCAATTAAGTTTAACTTACAAAGGCTTATGAGAACATTTGCTTTTCAATTGATCTTAAAAATATACAATATATGTATGCACAATATATATACTATATATGCAATACACTACCTGAATACAAGTAATCTTTTTTTTATTTTTTCATTTAGGAGTTTTGGTTGTTTTCATTTTATAACAATCTGAACAGCTGGTCCTTATATGCCACCTGCTTTAGTATTCTGGAAAATACATATTGAATTACTGGTATGAAGTTATTCTGACATAAACTTTGTAATGGAGCATTTAGAAAATCAAGTGATGGCTTTACATGATAAACATTTTCTCATCATTATCTGTATTATTAGATGCTATCATACACAATAAGCTCTTTCTTAAAACTATTTTTCTTTTTTACTGTTCTATGGATCGAATTCAGGGCCTTATGCATAGTGGGCAAATACTCTAAAATCTCGGCTCTAATATTGTTTCTTGAAGTTATGTTTGAAATTTCAAAGAGAAGGTAATGATTACTAAAAGTAAACTGGAAATATTAAGAGTAATACTTCATACATTTTAAATACTTCTGAGTTAGTTTTTCATCAAACTTATGCTTCCATTCAGTCTGTTCCATGACAGTTTTAAATATAAGTAAAAAATGCATTAGCATTAAAGAAATCATTCAAATGTTCCACGTGATTAAAGTTTTTCTCTTACATTATTGATTCTATTTCTCTATTAGATAGTCCAAGCCGTGAGCAAGAAAAAGAATGTTATACCTTTAGATAATTTTGTTAGTGTTACCTTTGATCATCCATAGTGCTTCTCTTGACTTTAATCTTGTCCTCTCCAGTATTCAGGTGAAAACTATAAATAAAAATACATATATTCATTGGCAGCTGCATCCACTGAATCATCAAGAAGAGCGGAAATGGTAAAAGATGGCGGAGAATGGACATTCTAGTCCACTATTTCCAAATATGTGTTTTGAGGTTCCCGATTCTTTCAAAAGCCCAGACAACTGTGTGCTTCTGCTTTCTTTTGAAGATTCAATGCATATCAGTAGAACAAAGAATGTTGAGAAGTTCCTAGAAAGAACTTGCTTCAGTGTTTTGAATAAAGTACTAACTGAACTTGACAACTGACCTCTCTTCTGTTATTACATCACTTAGGCTCACACAGTAGATGTTTAGCCATTATGAAATACACTTTAAAAATAATAAAACTGAAACTGTTTTCACCATAAAACACCGTAAAACTGAAAACAAAGTACAGAAGACAATATATAGACAATATTTGTAGGAGACGACCTGGGCAGCTTTCCTTGCATGCAGAACAATTGCTTTGGCATTAGTTAAACAGAACCCTGTCTCCATGTATTGATACATTCAGACCTGGCTATGCTAGTTCCTTCTCCCTTCAACTGGCTCTAAGCGATGCAAATAAGGCTAGCTAAGGTACTGCTATGTAATCCTTGAAGCCAGCTGACAGTTTCCCATTTCCTCATACCATGTTCTCTATAAACAGTTGAGCACAGTGGGATGGTAGAGCCATATAGCTCCAGGAATGTCACCTGGGTTCAAGCCACAAGATAAGGGTATATGACCTCCCAGGGCACAAAAGTTTACATATCATGCTCATGTAGTTCCTGCTAATCTCACTGTCACTCATCCTTGAGCTACTCCCTTCTTCACAAGACAATAAATTCTGAATGAGCCCTTCAATCAGGGCCTTTGTTCCATGCATCCTCACCTGGACTGGACTCAAGACTCCTGGGATGTCATTAACTTTGAATATGTCTTAGTGTCTTTATTCTTGCTCTGGGTTGCATTGGAGATGATAGATTAGAATTAATTCACTAGGATTCCAATAATGTTTCAATGGGATTACAAATATAATATTTCTTGAGCCATGAGGAGGACGAGAAATGGGATTACAATATTTGGGTTACAATATGCAATATTTGGATTACAATGATGCTGTTTTTTGGGGAATTTAGTGGCAAATTTAAAAAGAAAAATGCTATAAGCTAATTTTGAAAAGCGAAGATGCAAACAGACTGTAGATGTCCTATGGTGTAGAAAAAGTGATCTAACTGGAGTATGCATAACCCAAGGTGTGCTGTGGACTCATACTGGTGTGAATGGAAACAAAAAGAACTTGTTTATAATTCATTATCCTTTTTTGATACAACATAAACTGATTCAGTTATATATAAACATACACACAGTTTACTTTTGATATGTCATGCAGAGACAATAACATTAAACGGACATTGCTTTTTACCTAAAATAATTCATTCTCTCACTTACCTGATATTAACCACATAAATAGTGTAGTTCCAATTCTGGAAAGTTGCATTGAGCTGAAACCATAATGGAAAAAAAGTAAGAATCTTAGTTCTGAAACTTAAGTTTGCCTTTCAGATAAGGCCCTAAAGAAATCTTGGAAAATCGTCAAAATGAGAGTTAAAAGTACAGATACTAAATCACTGTTTACTAAGAATCTGATAAACGTTATTTTTTCAATCCTTACAATATTCAATAAGATAGGTTTTTATCCTCCAACTCTACTTTCTTATTTATGAAAAAAGCTGAGATTTGAAGATATTAAATGATTTGTCACTCACCCAACTATTAGTTAATCTAATGATCTGGCAGTGTCTAGAATGAAACTCAAGTCTATCTGTTTGGAAACGCTCACATTCCTTCCATGGCCTGTATTATAATAAAACTAGCAAAATGGATACTTCCTTATTCTCTATTTAATAAATATCTGGGTGCATTAAAGTATATTTCCTACTAATTACCTCTTGAAGTATGGGTAGTAAGAAAAATTATAAACTAACAACATATATTTTTTAAAAACAAGTATAAAATTAGTTCAATATTACTGGATCTATGTTAATTTCATATGATTATTCATTAATTTTTACAGGCCTCAGTACCATATTTTTTAATGAAGCAACAGATTCCTCTTCCATTATAAATTTTCATAATATAGTATCTGTTACAATTTCAACACAGGATTTCACCTCCAAAGGGCTATTAGGTCTTATTTTACACCAATGTTGAACTTTCCATGTAAGCATTTGCTAGTTTGTGTCTTGACTATCCCCCAAGAGCCCCTAGGCTAACACAGAGCTCTCAAGCCTGTGATGTTGTTGGAAACTCAAGAGGAAATTAGTTCAATGGGGAAGTGGCCTGGAGGGATACTGGGATCCTGGGCCCTTCCTGTCTTTCTCAGCTTCTCAGCACAGTATGTGTGCTGTGAAGCAAGCACTCTGTCTGCTTCCCAACTGTTGAGAAGTGAACAGGCTTCTGCCACATGCCTATGCTAGGGTGGAGTAGGCCACTACAGGTCCTAATGGACAGTGTCACGTGACCATGGAAGGAAACTATCCGCTAAAGAAAATCTCCTCTTTCTCAGTTGCTGATTTCGGGTACTTCATCATTGCAAAGGAAAGCTAATGTGGCATTTTGAAAATTAAAAGTAAATTTTAGGAGATGCTACTAAAAGAAAGATTAAATTATTTTTTAATCTTGAATAATAATCCAGGTTTAATTTTCCTTGTCTGAAATGTTTGGGACCAGAAGTACTTTAGATTCCAGATTATTTTCTAATTGTGAAATAGCTTTATAGGTTGTACTAGTTGAGCATCCCTCACCTGGAAGTCAACAAGGAAAGGAGCATATCAAGGTTCAAATTCATGGATTAGAGATGCACAACTTTAAAATGCACAATCTGTAATGTGCAAAAAGATACAACTCAGATATTCCTTTTTTTCAAGCATCTACTTGGGTAGCTTGCATCTTAAATCAAAAACAGCCAATGAAGTTTAGCTCCAGATGAGAATAAAGCTATGATGAAAACAGTACAAAAATATAAATGTAAAATTCTATCTTGCTGAGTGTAAAGTTTCTAGAGATACTAATTTTTAGGATTAATGACATCAGTAGCTTGAGAATTAATTCAAGCAATTTGACTTTGACTTTAAAGAACAATTTTGGAAAGAAAATTGGATCCAAAAATGCATTCTTTCTGTGATGGCTGCTCTCCACTTAAGAATTAAGTGCATTTCTTAGTGTTTCAATTAATTACCAATGATAATGCATCATTTTTTAAAGTTCGTTGTGACCTATTTAAGAATCTATTAAAAATTACCCTTCTCAAAAATTTTGTTATATAATTGTCAATTAAAAACTATTGTTTCTAGTGGTCAACTTGTTTTTAAAAATATTGCTTTTAAAAGAGATTTTAAAGATCACATTTTCCCATTAGAATACATTTAACAGACATGTGCAACAGAAGGAAATTAATTTTTTCATACTGCAGAATGTATACACTAGTGAGTATTCACACAAAAAGCTAATGTATGAACTGTATTACTATCTGTAGTCTATTATTTTGTATAAAAATGTACAAGGGCTGGGGATTTAGCTCAGCAGTGTAAGTACCTATCTGGCAAGCACAAGGTCATGAGTTTGATCCTCAGTACCAAAAAACAAAAAATAAATAAATAAATAAATAAATAATAAAAGTACAAGAAATTTGGGGAAAATAAAAGTTTTGAGATTGGTGTGGAAAAGAAGAAAATGAAAAATTCAATGGGTTGTATTTCATCAGGAAAAAAACACAAATGTTAAAATTTTTAAATTAGAAAAAACATAAAATTCAACAATAGGACACTAGTTAAATAAATTGTAACCTAAATGTCCACTGACAAAGAACTTGTTAAATAGATGCCTAGATGACTGCAACATCCTGCACTGCCAGGAGATGGAGGAGAAGGAGGAGGCAGAGGAGAAAAAGAGGAGGAGGAAGAAGAGGAGAAGGAGGAGGAGGAGAAGGAGGAAGAAAAAAGATAAGTTCTCTTGTTCTAATAATGCGAATTGGGAAACAACAAATTAAGTACAAGGTAGAATTGGAAAATAAAATGTAATAATTTTAATGTAAAATAATTTTATGCACACAAAATGGTTCAAAACAAAGTGATTTCCAAGTAATAGACTGGTCCAGATATATGAGTGCAAAGGTGAGCAGAGTTTTTCATAAGAAAGCTTTTACTTTTGATTATATATCAAAAACAAAAATAATAAATACACATTTTAAAACATAACTTAAAATTAATGGATTTAATAGTAAGGATACCTACTAAACTATTTCTATTTGTGTTGTAAATAATTTTCTTATTTACTACATGGCTAGTCTTAGGCTCAGTTTTGTATTCTTTATTCAAATGTACCTCTCTTTCATGCATGAGCACCAACCTTGCACATTATATATCTAATCAGATATCATAATGAGTAGTTCTGCACCTTAGCATGACTTACGGATTCAATTACTCAGAAACTCTTTCAGATTCTAGAAGTAAAAGGTTTAAAAGAACTCAAAAATGTTCACTTACCCATTCTGCCACCTTGCTCTGTACTTTGGCCTCAGGGTGGTGAAGGACATTTTGAATCACTATGGATATTCTATACATAATTCCATCTGCCCGTTGGAAATAGGGTTAATCCGTGAGTTATGTTTACACATCAAACAGTAAATTCATAAGCACATAATTCCATGTAAGTTAAATAAAACCTTTCACATAAGCACAGAAAATTTCTGGGCTGATTTAATGCTAAAACTTTTGACTTTTGTAACTTTTAGAAATAGGTATCAATTGGTTTACTTTTATAATTTGATCCTCCAAAAATATTGTTTGCACATGACCTTTGAAATAATTGCAGGCATCTTCAGAGTTTTCAAGTCTTACAGATTTCCGAGATGAATTATCCATAAAGTAGTAAGTTTTCCATATAGAATTTGACTTCTTACAACAAGAAAGTAAGGTTTTTTGCACATTGTAAGATGATAAAGATGTGGGATGAACTCTTGCTGAGTGAAGGGATGGGCAGGGGTTACTGTGAAAAGAACAAAACTCACTGTCCTCAAATCCTCTTGCTTCCCCTTGCCAGCAAAAATGTTTACTTCTACTAAATCACTAGTAAGATTTCACCAAAATTTTCATTAAAATTTCTTAAATATGGTCGTTTATACTAAGGTAGAAAGAAAAAAAAACTTGCAGGTAAGTTTAATGAGATAATATTGTGAACAGAGGCTTTGTTTTATTGGAGGAAGTGAAGGCAATCTTTAAAGTAGTTTGGTTTATTTCCCCCATGGAAATCACACTCATCATCAAGGGTTTGCTAAGTCTCTTAGGTGAGTGGTACAGGGCTCTTTACTCCAAGTAGCTAGAGCAGAAAAAATACTCTTAAAATAAGATTGCTTATAGAAAGAAGAAAATGTAGCATCTGTGATTGTCAATAATATTTTTGTGATTTAAGTAAATCAAGTAAAATATGCATAGAAGATATAGAAATATATAATCAAAACAATGTTGAGGAATACTTTTAAACAGAATTGTGGGGAAGCAGTGGATAAAAAACACAAAACTGAGCTTCTGGAAACTCCCAGATCTACTCAAATGCAAACTCCAGTTCCACCACTGAAAGACTTTCCAGTTAAAAGGATCAATCACATGCCAAACAATAGAAACTGCCATCATCAAATATAGTAACACAAATATGCAAAACTTGTGTAAGTCCAAAGACAGGTGAACGCAATTTCTGCAGAGTAGGTTATTTCAAATTCTAAATCTCTTTGGGTATGGTAATGATTTTAACTTTATACTTCTTTATTTATTTTATTTATTTATTTTTTTACCAGTACCAGGGATCGAACTCACAACACTGCGCTTGCAAGGCAGATGCTTATGCTGCTGAGTCCCAGCCCTATACTTTCTGAATGAAGAATATTTAGAGAAACATATAAAAATGATAATTTAGACTAAAAATCTTTTGTCCTATGGATCCCATCATACATATCAAGTCATTTGAATGAGGGAGAGGAAGCTCAAACTGCTGAGGCCCAAGAAATCCTAAGGGTCTTCAAGAACCAACACAGGGCTTCAGGATCCTAGGGACAGTCTGTGAATTTTCACCAGTGCTAGCAGAGTATCTGAAAACTGACCACTAGATGGAGCGCTAAAGCACATTTTTTATTAAAAGAAATATTTGTTCTCTCAAGGAAAAAATGACAAAACACTAAAAATTAATATGTTTACTGATTTTTCTGAAATTTTATTAAAGACAGTTTACAGATATATATTTAAAGTAATGTCTTATATTTTAAATATTTCTTGTCCTCTTTTTTCAGGTGATTGTTTTTATAAATGAGAGACATCCAATATTAGAGACAAATCTGAGAGTATTTAAGTAGGATATTATTGCTGATAGGTGATAAAATGTCAACATTCCAAATAACTTAGCATCTTATGTTACAGAGTCTCCTGTGCTGTAGGTAATTATGACCTAGTTTCTTTCTAGAAGTCTCAGAATTATATCATATTTCATAAACTTAGCTAAAAAAATACTTAGCAGAGCCTACTTGTTACTTATTTTAAATTTTTGAATAGTGAGATCAAAAATAAATCATGAGACATATCCAGGAGTAAACCAACAAAAAAGATAAAGTGTCCATTGAGGGGCTGCTGAGGTGGTTTTGGTTTGTAGCAAACTGACTGGCTTAAACATTACCATTTAGGAAATACAGCCAAGACCCAAAGATGCAGCTGTTTTGTGTTACCACAGCAGTAGCCACGGCTTCCATAGATGTAGCAACCATTGTGGTGTCTCAGTACAGACTGCTCACAAAGCATGACTTCCAGAGACTTCAAGAGATACATGGATTATCCTTGTGATAACATTCAGGTCAAAAGAACACACCTGGCACACACTTCTTGAAAAAATTATTTAAGAATATATCACTTTCCAATTGTATAATTCTTCCAGCCATGCACAGTATCAAAGTAGAAATCACTGGCTGCAGACGTGATGTCCAAATAGCTTTCCTTGTGTAGGTCTGTTGCCAAAGAATTTTTTTTAATTTCTTACCACTCGTTTCAGGTTCTTAGAGGATTTAGAAATAACACTATTATATCTTCAATAGTGTGAAATACAGAATTGAAATGACAGATTTGAAAGTATGTATTCCAAAGATATGTTAAAATCCAAGCTGAATGTCATTTAGATTTGAGGTTATAACTTTGAATTGGTGACTGGATGATGATAACATGACGGTGTGACTGGAGCCCTACCGTGTATGTATGTACAGTTTCTTTAAGTATCTGGCATACACAGCTAGAGTGACTGTTAGATCCACACAAACATCCCATGAGTGAAATTTGGTGTTTGAACAGTCACACATATGTAAGAAAAAGGAACATTACAATTGGTACTTGCAAACAATATTTTTAGAACAGAAATGAGAATATCATGAATTCCTTACTTGGGTTGATTGTGCCAACCTCATCCAAACTTGCTATCTAGTGTCAGTAGGATGTTATCCCAGGCACAGGAGATATATTTGGAAAGAAAATAATAACTAGTCCAGGAGCTTTCTTGGGCATAATGGAAAAGACACACAAGTTCATTATTCGTGGGAATGGCTAGATTAGCCATGACATCCTGAAATATCTGCTTGTGAACAACACCCTAACAGATAAGACTTTCTTTATATAGTGGTAGATATCAGATGAAAGCCTACTGAAGATAACAAAAAGAGTTTTATATGGAAAAATAGTAACATTTCACAAAGCCAGGAAAATAAATCTCATTGACACAATGTGGAAATGCACCTGATTGTCAAATAATATCAGTCTTCTCCTGTCCCTGCACTGACAGACTGCTACTGATGAAATCAGTAAAACTCTGATAGCCCAGAGCTAAAAGGACTGGATAAGGTGGACAAATGGATTCGTCAGTTGTGCTTAACTTTCTCACGTACTCCAAATACAATTTTGTAATATATCATATTGTAAGCCTGAGAATGTTTATGATATCACTTTCTCAAAGAATAAGAAACTGTTGATAGTATGTGAATGATCTTAGATAGTCCAGGACAGGACATTAAATACCATGTAATCATAAGGAAAAAGAGTAATTCTCTTTCCAATTATTCCAAATTTGATTACACTAAAGAAAAAAATCTTATTTTTGTATAACTTATCTCTGACATTTCTTTTTAGAAATGATAACAGAAACATCCAGCTCTGAGGTGTAAAAAGCTAAGGAAATATACAGGAAATTCAGAAACATTATTTACATTACATTTGTATATTATACTTATATTTTTTCACTTCTATTTTACAAGTAAAAAGTTCATTTCAACAATAAAGAACATAATTTCCCCATGTAAGTACCATGGCTTGATTAAAAAAAAGTGTCTCAATTTAGAAAAAAAATGAAGTCAAAAGAATAGGTGATTCAAGGATATAGTACAAGTTAGGCATAAATTTGAACACGTAATTATGAGTCTATTTTACCACGTGATTTTTGAATGTTTTTAAATTCTAAGATTGTATTTTATCAAAAAATCATCTGAAGTAGATTATTTTTCATTAATGTGCTCAAGACAGGCCATCTGAACTGATTCTAACATTTGCTTGCTTTGTTGAAACTCCAACGAAGACCATGACGCAGAAGCAATGGACTGAACAAGGCTCTCTTCAAGAATGCTAGAAATGACATGATTGAGTGAATGCAGCCCTGCCCTACCAAGTTGAGGACTCTGAAACATCATATAAATGTTCTTGGGCAGTAGAGGATGTGCCAGTCCTGGAGGGAGAACACCACAGAGGCTCTTTGTGTGTTCATACAAAGAGTGAAATACTTAGTTAGAATTATAATATTCCCATCTGCTGGCAGGAGTCCATGTGAAATATGCACTGGAAACTTCGGCTGCTGCTGCTTTCTGGGGGGTTGTTGGAATTTTTGTTCCATCATAAATCTCCTTGGTGTAACTAGCAGAATAACCATAAACACTTCCGTGAATCAATGGCTTTATAAGCCTAATGAAACTTATATTTATGATTCATGTAAAATATTCCATACTTCCAATTTAAATGTCCTTACAGAGGAAGTTGATGTAACCCTTGAAGCCAAAAGAAAAAATGAACTATGTGGTGTTTTCTTCTCTGGGTTTTGGGTCCCTGGTGATACATTACAGATGTCTTGGTCTCATAAGCTCAAGAATTGGGGTTTAGAAAATGCCTTTGTTTCCATTATCTCATATTTGAGAATATTATTATATTCAAGCAATATGTAGTCACCTGATTGGAATTTCTTTTTCGCTACTTAAAATCACTAACTCTACATTTTTAAAAGATTGTGTACATGATCCATATGTGCAGCAGATTAAATAAGAACTCAATTCATTTGGTTTTTCTCTGCTCATTTCCTAACTTTATATAAGTATTGCATTTGCAAACTAAAACTAATATGAATGGAAAAATATGTGTAGAGAAAAAGAAAACAAAGTATTGGAAGCTACTTGAATTTTATCATATCAAAATTAACTAGGCCTGGGGTACAGCGCAGTGGTAGGGCATTTTGTCTAGGATACTCAAGTACCAGTAAACTCCCTCTTACCCCACCAAAAAAGATTTAAATGATAATAATAGTCTAACCATTTTCAACAAAAAAACCCCACTAAAATTGGCTTAAACATCATGAATGTTTCAAGATAAATTTAACATCCACGAGAAATTAAACTACTAAACTTGCTCAGTTTTTTGAAATTATAAATTCCTTTTAAAAACCAATTTCCTTTGGAATCTAGTGTTTTGTTTTACTATTGTCTGTCAAACCTGAGCAACTATTTTGAAGATAACAATATGCAATATAATAACCACTGTTAAATTCCTATCCTCTTGTTTTGAAAACCTATATAGCTATTGTTGCACTTTGTTGTTTTGTTGTTGTCATTGTTGTTTTTGTTTGCTTCTTTATTTTTATGCTATTCCCTTTTTCTCTTAAAAAAGTTTCTGGAAGAGAATAATCTGACAATACATAATATACTGTGGAAAGAATAGTTTTTTTTATCTGTTTGCTATTATAATGGAAAATTCCTTGAAATGAAATGTCTTTCTCTTAAAACTTCCTTTGCAAGACTTTTCAGCAAAAAGTGTAGAATAAGTACTAGAAATATATTCATTCCTCTGACCATTGGAATGAATATTTGGACAATTGGAAACTTGAACCCAGGATATTTACTTATTAGCTTTGCAATGCACCAATTACCTCTAATAACAGAAACATTGTTCGATCACTAGATATTTCCACCCTTAGAATACAGGTTTTTTTTATTATTATGTTAGACATACTACAAATAAAAAAGGTAATGATTTCTTACCATTCTTTGGTTTATCGATTCTATTAGTAACAGGCATGTTAGTGGTGACAGTGGGTGGTGTAGTACTAGAAGAGTTTACAGTTGCTGGCAATAAAGATGAGAAAGATGTAATTTTGAAGGAGCATATGACAGTTAATATGGATAAGCAATCTATAATTAATGCATGGAAATACACAGCAGAGGAATGAAAACCATTTCTTGCCACTAATTACAACAGACTTTGAGGTTATAATATATAAAATGAAGCACTGCTTTCTATGGCACATTGAGAATCGATTCCCATGGTCATTGGTGCCAAACAGCACAGGATCTGGAACTGGCACAAAGTGACTGAAGAAAAGATATTCCGATTCTAGACCTAACTCTGGCATTAGAAAGCTGTCCATCATGCAGAAAATCACTAAACCTTGGCAGAACTCATTTCCTCTGTTTGAAGAAGAAAAACTTCAAGAAGCCTGTCTGGACAGACTTAAACCTTGAAAATTACCTAAACTAAGTCAGTCTGATTGATTAACTAAAAGTAGAGAGAGGAAGTCTTAGAACAAAATGTACCTCTCCCTGAGAACATAAATATAAGGAAAGACAAGAAAATTGGTCAATCATTTAAAGATCCCAATAATTCACCAGACATTAATGGATAAAAAGTATTTCAGAGGACAACCATTACAGGGAGGTATTTTCAAAGTATTAAGTCACAGTTATGCTTGTGATATTTTCAAAAATTCTCAAAGATCAAACCCTTTTGCAAATGTTTTATAATTCCTTCTAAAGGATTGAAGGTTCTTTACAAGAAGTAGAAAAGCTCCACATATATTTTTCTTTAGTTTATCTTATGAAGACATTTATATTAGATGTATATTCATATATCTAATTACGATATGTTCATTTCCTTTAATTAAAAAGTTACTTAAACAATATACTTGCATTTTTTAAAAAAAATTACCTTTTAAGAGCTCTACAAAATTTAAAATATTGAATTTCTGGCTGTAAAATGTACATAAATTGATAAATAATTTTCTATTCCAAACCATATATAGCACTTAAAATAGAAATTATTTTTTTAAATTATAAACAATCAACTATCTCTAATAAAAATACATCATGAATTTTAGTTATTTATGACATGAAAAAAGTAAAAGCTAAGTATCTGGTCCTTTTACTCAAAGAATAAATACTATAAGTATCTCAGATTTAAAGGACTTTGAAAAGTTAAAATGTTTTCAAAAAGCCTTCAGATCTTGAATGCAACAAAATTTAAGCTTTTCTGGTCTGCTTTACATAAGTATTTTAAAACAATGAGTTCATGTAAAGAAACTACTTAATTTTAGGAGGGTATTAATTGATGATAATATCTGAGAAATGCCTGAGGAAAACAAAGATAGTGGATGCCCCGGCCCTTCATGCCCTGCTCCCACAAACACGCACACTGCAGGAAAGAGGATGTAAATTTCTAGTAGACTTATTTAATCTCACTTCTAATCACCATCACTTTTGTGCCACAATCCTTTAAGAGATCCAGCTTTTATGAAAGGTACGGTCACGATTCTCAAGTGACACATAGGATATGCTACTTCAAATAGAAGCATTTAATAGAGTAAATGGATGAAAAAGGTAATTAGGAGATGCAATGATAAAATTAAAGCAATATGTTTATATTATTATTTTAAAACTTGTATGACTACATATTATTTAGCATGCAACTATTCAGTAAATAATACATAACTGAGTATTGGTCTTGATATAGTTGTAAAATATAATAATTCACATAGTTATATAACATTATCTTAGTATAACCATTTTATCTTAACTCAAGTTTATATACATTTATGATATGAAGTTATCATAAACTGCCTTGTGGCCTTGTGTTATACTTAATCAAATATTTTAAATTCTATTTGTTTTCCCCTTGTTTATAGACACGAATACTTCTTTATAATATTGGACCACTGAAGTATTCTTGAGAAGAAACAGAGGGGGAAATGAAATAAAATCTTGTTTGATAACATAAAATCATTCAAATTTTCAAAAACTCAGTGGTTTATGAAAATGCAGTCACGCAGTGTGTGAATGCTTTCTTTCTCTACACTGTATGCCTTCTGCACCCACACAATTAAAAGACATCCAGATATTCTTCTGTTGTGCTGGTTTTTAACTTTCCAAGTGAATATTAAGATAAACATCAAAGCATTGACAACTACATCACCTAAAATAGCAAGAAAGGAGCAGAGGACAAGATTGATTCCTTACCTTGACAGAGGGTCCCCAGTTCTGCGCAGTTAGCTAGTTCTGCTGTGGGAAGTGGGACCAGGTAGGAACCTTGATCAACACAGAGGGAAGATATAAGTTTGACTTATGATCTATTGACATAATCTAAAAAATAAGTATCATAAATCATATGGCTGATGAAGCAAGAAGAGCCCCCGGAGAGGCCATCAATGATATCCAGTGTCAACAAAGTCTCTCAAGGTGCTGTGCCCTAACATTCTTGAGTGTAAAATCAAGATATATTTAAGTTGCCTTCAAAGACTTGAACTGACTTTATCAGATGTCCAGACGTGAGATGAAAAGAACTGCTGTTGTTCCCTTAAGTCTTTAAAAAGTTCACAGCTCTATGGCATAATTAATCAAAAAGCTCTGATGGAAATTCATACAAATGAAATAATATAGACATCAAAGTGAGGTTTCAAAGTACACTTGGATACTATGAATCACTCACAGAATGCGTATTTTTGGTTCATAGACACTAGCACAGTTCTGCTATTTCCAACTCCAGAAATATGGTTTTTTGACTTCATGTCAGTCTTGGGTCTTTTTTATTTCAAGCTTTCACTTGAAATGAAAAAACTTTCCTTAGAAGGAAACAAATTGCAGAATTTTCTGGTAGAAGTAGATTTTCTGTGTGGCAGTAAATCTTTCAGTTAAGACTTTTACCACCAAATTGAGGCTAAGATGGACTAAACTTACTACAAAGCATTATGGATTTTATAAACACACAATAATAATTACAAATATATGCAAAATGTGTGTATATATGCAGCTATAAAGATATATAAATTCATATATCACATACTATATATTTAATATTTAAAGGACATTTATGTAACAGTGATTTTATTCCAATGTTTAAACTTTCCCCCAGTTTTCCCATGGGAAAAGCCAGGACAGGTGCATGAGCTCACAAAAGTTGTCTAATTAGGTAAATGGTGTACACAGGGAGAAAACATCCCAACAGTTTAACAGTATCTCAAGAGACTCTGCATCCACAGTCTCGATTGTCTCAGGCACCAGACTTTTGCATCTTAATGCAACCAGTGTTGACTCATTCCCTATGACACATGATGCAGAGAGCCTAGAACAATGCCTCATGCAATGTCACTATTTTCAGACAGGCGTGAGCACAAGCCAGCTTCACAACTGTAAGGCAAATACACTGGACATAGTAGTCATCCAAAGGAGGAAGTGACACAACTTATGGAGGAGAGCAAGCAGGAAAACCATTACAAAGAAGGAGACTCATGACGCATATGAGATTTTAAAAGATCTGGGCTACCAGAAAGAATTTCTCAAACATAACTCAGGGGCACTGGAAGAGGTCTGGCAATGCATATAACCTGACACTGGAAATGATGGAGATTATCAGATATATAAGTCTGCGACAGCACTGGGACCCTGTGTCTTTTTCCCAATGAAGGATCCCATGTGCAGGAGATACGTGCTCAGGATTTAATGAATACACATTTACCAAATGCATTATTAATGGTAACTGCAATTTAAAACTCTTTCTTAAAGTAAATGAGAAAAAAAACTCAAAATGGGGTAGGTGAGAAAATCAGAATTGTATTTTCAAACAATCATTTTTGAGGTTCCACCACCAAAAGAGGGAGGCATAGGAAAGCAGGAGTAACATTAGAAATTCAGGTTTTACAACATGAATACAATGAAGATGGACAGGAAGAGATGGTTACAGGAAATGTGAAAATAAGAATTGCGTGGTGTAACTACTTAGAGAGATAAAAAATGGTAGATTTTGGTATACAATGATCTCATAAAAGGATATAGGAAGTTAGGAGTGCGGATTTAGATGAAAGGGATAAAAGTTCAATAATAATAACAGGTGGCTGTGTGCCGTCTAGATACACGGGAAGTTTTATGTGTTCTGTAAGAGGTCTACCCCAGAAATACCAAACACAAGCTACTGGTGTGTTTGGAATTGCTAGAGCCAGAGTCCTGATTTTAGAACAGGACTATATTTAATTTTTAGAAGTACAGATTTCACTAAGTAAAAACAGCTCTTGTATAAATATCTTTCACAGAATTACACTGAAGAAAGTTTAGTGTAGAGTGTGGAAATACTAAGTATAATAGAAAAGTTAAGAGTGAGAAATACTGAGAAGACCTTTAAATTTGTAGTGGATTTAAAAAAATTATTAGTGCATGTGTGGAGTACAGGATGTGCACACTGATCTTAGGGAACGGGTATGTGTGCCTAACATGGCTTCATTCTTTTCACTCCTTTCTCCCCTGCTTACCCTCCTCCATCACTGTGGATCTAGAGCCCCCTCCCCACTTTTACTATGATTTTGGCTCATGTTTGTGGCATACAAGGGTTACATTTACTGCGGATAGCTGAAACACATACATGACACATCTTAAATCTTCATGGGTACCCTACTGCTCTCCACCTCCTCAGCTCTCAGTCTCTCAGTCTCCTTCTCATCTGTAAAAAAAATTTCTTTGTTTCCTTTGTCAGACTTACATTGTGCTCTTTGTTTATACTTTGGATTAACCAAGTGAGAGAAACTAAATGGTATTCAAGCTTGTGTGCCTGAGATGTCTTTTATGTAACATGTTTTCATGGTGGATACACCTTGAATGCATTGGAATTTTGATATAACACCACAAAAATTAGTTTCAGTTGCACGGAAATGGTGAAATCTAGACGGCCAGCATTTGAGGAATGAATGCAAGAGGAAGCCTGGTTGTGTAAGGAAGCAGAGATAGGAAGGGGGGTTTTAAAGTCTGAAAACTTAAGCAAGTGTACTGGACCAAGGGCATCTGCAGAAGTTGAGAGAGGATAAAAACGGAATTTTATTCTGAATGCTTTCTTCCCTTTATGCTTTTTCCCCCTAAGTACGTCTATTTAGAGATTTCTGAAAACTAAAGAGCATTTAAGCCTCAGTGACTGATGAAATCTCAAGCACTGTAGCGTGCAACAGAGGAGTCCCTGGGATGGAGTCCCTGTTGTTCTTAAGTTACACACAGTGTTGGCAGCCTCGGGCTCCTTGGGTCATTCCTGACACTGATACAGTATCACTAGAAGACAAAGAAAGATAAGAGGACAATACCGTGGGAAATAAGTTCTTTGCAAAACTACATTTCCACTACAGTTAGGAGGTTAAAGAGCTTAGATGTAAAAACAAGGAAAGAAAATCAGAAGATTTAGAACAAGATGTTTGACAATTTTCTTGAAAATTTTTAAAAATCAGTTTTACTATAGAGTATCAAGCATAGATTTCAGTACACAGCATGTTTTCCTGGGAAATTGTAATTTTTGTTTCTTAATATTTTACTGAGTTTTACTTTCTGTGAAACATCTAGTTTAGCATATTGACATTTCTTTAAAAATAATGAACATTATCATGATCCAATAGAACAATTTCAAGTAGAAGGCTGTTTTAGTGAAAAATATTATAAAAATAAGTGGCATATTTAACTGGAGGTAAAAACCGATAAATGAAATCTTATATTATAAATACACCAAGCTATGTAAATAAACATAGGAAATATAAAAACTATACACAGCCAGGCATGATGGTGCATACCTGTAGTCTCAGCTACTCAGGAGGGTGGGGCCTGAGAAATGCTTGAGCCCAGGAATTCAAAGCTTTCCTGACAACCCAGTGAGATCATGTCCCTCAAAAAACCCACACATCTTACACTTGTGCAACCTTTTTTATTTCTTCCCAGTTCCATTTTCAGCATAATTGTATAAAAAGACAATGTCACAAATGATTTTGCTAGGCTGACAGATTTATAAATGTGGATGGTAGGGGAGAAGAGATAATTCTTCTTCTAGGATAGTAATATATTTACCCCCAACTATTTTGAGAATGTGGTCTCTGAACGTCCCCTGATTTTTAAGGCTACCCAATGGTACTTAAAGGTATTTAGTTAATGTCAAAATTTAGACTCAAAATTTCTTGAAAAAAATGTAATCACTGAAAATAGGCAGTAGATGAAAACCTATAAACTTAATCTTTCTTCTCTATCTTTTGTTGTTCCTCCCAAGTCATGCTACTGAAGTGAGTCACTAGATATTTACACAAGTTGTGGTAAAACAACTTGACAAGCCAACACTACTCTCACATCCTCCCCTTATAATCCAAATAGTAGAGTAAATTCTGACAGTGTGCTACGCGAAAAAAGGCTTCAAAGTAGTAGTTAGTAAAATGATTTTGTAACTTTTCATAAGTAAACACATTTGAAATACAATTATTTTTGGAAACCTACTCTCAAAAAATTTGAACATCCTCAAAGAATAGAGTCTTTTTAAAAGACTTTTTACCTTAATTTCATTTAAAGATGATTCAGTGGTCTAAAAGTATTAAATTCAGTAATCTGCTAGAGATAGAAGGGTGAAGCCAACAATGAATTAGAATTTTACAACTGCAATAGCCAGAACTGTAATTGTAGGACTCCAAAAGTCAATGAACACTTAGCAACTAGGTACAAAATTATGGAGACGAAATCACAAGTCTGTAAAAATTCAGACATTTCTGGAAAAGAATGACAATAAATGTGGGTACTTAGATTTGTGCGTTATCTCTACATCCACAGTGACTAATTGATGGAAGTGGTTAAATTATGCTTATTAAATAAATACAACTTGTTTGAACTTGGACTATTCATTGAGTTATACTGTACCACTCCTCAGGAAAGAGCAGTAATCAGTAAAATAAATAAGACTTCTAGAGAAAGCACTGTCTGTTCTTTGTGAAAGCTGGTGGACATTAGCCAGTATCTGAACTTGAATCATAACTCAGGCAAATACTTGCATCTATAATTAAACAGTGAATTGTGGAAATTACTTGTTCTTAAAGGCCATAAAACTGAGTATGTTTAAAAATTTGTTCTAGGAAAAATAAAGATGCTACAACATGACAAATAATTACTGCTAAATAACACATATTTCTATAAAGGACTGAAAAGATTAACCATTTTTAAATGAGCTTGCTCAAAATTTCTTAATTCAGATATAGTCCCCAAATATACTTATAAAAGTACAGGAAAATAAAAATCTCCAATATGAAATCCCC